CACAGTCACACAGCAATGGTCTGGTGTCCTGAGGATGGGGGCAGATCAGCTCAGCTCAGCACCCCAGGACTCCTCTCTCTGCCAACTCACCCTGGACCCCGAACTGGGAGTCCCATTGACTCCTCGACCCAGGGAGGGTGGGGGCCTGGCCTGCCTTGTTCATGTGCTCAGAATGTCTCAGGGGGATGAAAAGCCACCTTTCAGGGGGATGAGGGAGGTGTGGTGATACCTAGTTTGCAGATGAGCCACTAGAGACTCTGACCTGGGGAGCTTGTCCAAAGACACTCAGGTCACCTGCTGCCCTCCCCTTCCCCCCTCCTCCCCCCACCTCCCCCCACCCCCACCCCCGGCCAGTGCTGCCCTGAGAGATAAGGCCTGTCCCTGTGAAAGCCAAGGGCAGGTCCTGCCTGGGGCTCAGCTGGGAGTGCCTAGAGATGGGCAGTTGGGTTTGGGACTGTGAGTGGGGCCCCTCGATGGGCTGGGAGGCAGGGCAGTGATGATGCCCAGGTACACTGTTGGGCACGGGCGGACACGAGGTGGAAGCAAGTCAGCGTCGCGTTCTGATGAAGACGGTGCCCTTCCCCAGGGGCAGGAGGAGCTATACCTGCTGCACCTGGAAGGCGGATGGCCAGGCCTGGTCCTCCGGGGCCCTCCCACTGCCCCCCCCTTCTCCCTCCCTCGGTGGCCTGCAGCCCTTGTGATCGGAGGCTCAGAGGGGCCTGTCCTTGTGGGGCATCAGTCCGTGACTGCCTCTCCTCTCCTGGTCATCCCCACCAGGCCCAGGGTGCCCCCGTGAGCCCAGGAGGCAGGCGAAGGAGCCTGGGTCCCACAGCTGGGGCTGGGGGGTCCGGGGGTGTGAGTCAGGCATTCTTTGGAATCAGCCACGTGAGCCAGGCTGGCCTCTGCCTCTCCTTCTCCATTTATCCAGGCCTCCCTGGGGACTTACTTCCCTGCCGGTCTTCAGCACTTCCCCCGCAGGGGGCGAGGATTCTACCTCTTGGTTAAGACTCCATGCTTCCCCTGCCGGGGGTGGTCGAGGATTCTATCCCTGGTCTGGGAGCTAAGATTCTCCCATGCTGTACCCTGTGGTCCAAAATACACAGACAGACAAACAAGACCTTCTTGGGTTCCCCTGCTTCACAGTGCCCCCAGTCATCCATCCCTCCAGACCGTGACATGGGGCGATGGGGCATGGTCATCGCTCCGTGTTGCAGACGAGCTCTTTGGGGCTGGGGCGGGGGGGGGGGGGTGGGCAGGTAACTTGCCCAAAGTCCTTCTGATGCAATTAGCAAAGGCCGATCAACTCCGTACCCTGTGCCCCCGCCCCCTCACCTTTGCGCCTGGGAGCCCCATAGCCGTTCGGTGGGCCGAGCAGGAACCTCTCCATCCTCTCCCACCCATTCCGTCCTGCGCCAGCGCTCAGGGCCCCCGCGGCCTCGGGAGCGCGGGCCGCGCCTGCCACGCAGCGGCCCCCGGCGGAAGTGCAGCCTCACCCTGCTCTGGGCCTCGGCTCCCTTCACGGAGGTGCTCGGCGGGGCCGGGGCGAGGCGGAGGGAGGAGGGGCGCAGAGTGATGAGCAGGGTCTGGAGTACGGGGGAGCGGGGCTCGCGGAGGGCGAGACGCGGCTGCGTAGGGCGGTGCGTCAGCCCAGGGCTCCCTGGGGGCGAGCGGGACTCCCGAGTCGCCGGGCCTCTTTGCTGAGCTGTGTGAAGGTCACGGCCCCACCGCCCCGCAGGCGGCGATTTGCCCTCTCCGCCCGATGCCCAGTTCTGGCTGTCCTGTCCCACCCTTGCCTGATGACTTTCAGCTGCCCCCAGGGACCCCCCACCCACCATCATTTCAGCCAGTGATGGGATGGGGTCCTCTGGCAGTTCTGAAGAGTTGGGTGTGTGCGTGTGTGAGACACGGCAGCCCACAGAAGACCCAGCCAGCCAGGCAGGGTGGTGGGAGGCAGAGCCCCTCGGAGCCCTGACCAACCTGGGCCACCTGCTTTCCTTCCTTCCATTATATCCCCTCAAAGCAGCTACAGCCTCTCCATGACAACCCCCCTTCCACGTCCCCCCGCCCCCCCCACAAGCCATCAGGCAGGGTTCCAGTTCACATTTTTGGAATAACAAGGGCTTTTACAGGGTTATTTGAAAGGGGAAAAATTCTTTGATAATCGACAAAGGGAGAGCACCAAGGGGGCTCCGAGTGTGTCTGTGTGTCCAGGGGCCGGGGATGGGCCTGTTCTGTAAGGGGGTCTTGTATCTGGAGTTTCTGACATCCCTGGGCTGTCAGGGTCCGGGGATGTCTGGGTCCTGGGCTCTCTGGGCTGCAGAGTGCACTTCTGGCCTCTCTGGCCAAGAATCTGCAACTGAAGTGGGCATGGGGTGTTGAGGCCTCAGGTTCAGAATCCTGAGTTGGTGTCCTGGGGGCAGGATTCCCCAGGCCATCCAGAAGGTTGGGCTCATCTGAGGTTCAGGCTCTGGACTTATCTTAGATGAGTTTCCCAGGGGAGAATGAGGATCCAGGGCCTGGATCACTGGACTCCCAAGGTGTGGGTGTTGGGGTGGGGGGATCTCCAGGGCTAAGGGTTTCCTGGTCTCTGGCCTCTCCTTAGTCCTTGTGAGGGCCAGTCCCTGCTCAGGCCGCTGCCGGCCATCACCATATTAGGGCATAAACTCCAGGCGGGCTGTCTGGGTGCCAAACGGTCTACAGCTGGGCCCAGCCTCCTGCAGCTCCCAACACCACGGCCGAGCTTCAGCCGGGCCATGTCAGAGGCCGGAGGTCAGAGGACAGGAGCGGCTACTGGAGGAGAGACCCGGACAGCGCCTCCCGGGTCAGGTCTTGCGCGCTGAGCCATGAGGGCCTGGGTGAGTGGAAGGGCTTTGGGGTGGGGCGGAGAATTCCTGGCCAGCCCCTCCTCTGGCCCAGCCCCCCTCATCTCAGTGCCTCCCCGGTTCCCTTGGTTGCAGAGGATCTCAGTCTGCCAGGTTAATCCCATAGCTGTTAGAATCATTGCTCTGCTGCCTCAATTAGCCCTGTCCCCAGGAGATCTTCCTTGGGCCCGGCCAGCCTCTCCCTTTGTGCCCGGCCTTGTTGGGTCCCTGGTGAAGCTTCGGCCGTGTTCCCCAGGGCTAGCTGCCCCCCCCCCCCGCCCCCGCCGGCCTTTTTAACCACCAGCCCCTCCAGGTTGTTGGCCTTGACTCAGTTCACCCCAGCCATGTTCCCTCCAGAATCCAGTCCCCATCCTCAACCCCTCCCCTACCATTAGCACTGCCCCATCACCAAGGCCTCTGGCCAGCGCCTGCTCCCTGGTGCATTGTTCTGGCTGCTGGGCTCGTCAGAGGGGACACAGACACTGGCGAGTTAGGCACCTGCAGTTCACAGGACACAGATGAGCACCAGGAAAGAAGTCTCTGCCCTGGAAGAGGAGATGCAGAGCATGCTTGGTCCCCCCCCCCCCCCCCCCCCCCCCCCCGGGTCCCTGGAGGAGGAGGAATGGGATGTTAATGCACCTTCTTGTTGCAACAGCAAGGGCTTCCTGCAGGGGGCGATTCTGAGCTGGGCCTTAGGCAGAGCCTGAAAGCCCATGGGGTCTCTTTGAGAACTAAGTGGAGAGGCGGGTGAGCGGGCCGGGTGCTGGTCAGGGCAGAGGCATATTGGGTACATTTGGCCTGGTGAACTGACATCACGTGGAATAGGGGCCCTGGTGGCCAGAGAGAGGTTGGGAGGGAAAAAAAGAAGCCAAGAAGAGAGAAAAAGACAAGATGTCTCTCACCAGAGTCAGAGATGAAACATCTAGAAACAGTGCTTCTTGACTCTGGTGAATTTCTAATGTGTTACAGACCAGTTGTTGTTGTTCAGTTGCTCATCCGTGTCCCACTCTTTGCGACCCCATGGACTGCAGCACGCCAGGCTTCCCTGTCCTTCACTGTCTCCCAGAGTTTGCTCAAACTCATGCCCACTGAGTCGATGATGCCGCCTAACCATCTCATCCTCTGTCGTCCCCTTCTCCTCCTGCCTTCAGTCTTTCCCAGCATCAGGGGCTTTTCTAATGAGTCAGATCTTTGCCTCAGGTGGCCAAAGGATTGGAGCATCAGCTTTAGCATCAGTCCTTCCAATGAATATTCAGGACTGATTTCCTTTAGGATGGACTGGTTTGATCTTGTTGCTGTCCAAGGGACTCTTGAGTCCTCCAACACCACAGTTCGAAAACATCAATTCTTCAGTGCTCAGCCTTCTTTACAGACCAGTACTGGTGTGAAATGCAAAAATCATATGCTTGGCTATTGTGGCAACGTCAAATTGCTGTAAAGCTTTTGAAACTCTAGCTCGCAACTTTTGAACTTTTTGTGGGCAACACACCAGCTGGGGACTGAGAAAGAGGAGGAAAGACAGAACAAGGGGCCAGGGTGCCCGCTGGCCTCTAGTGTTCAGTGCGTGCCAGGTACTACACTAAGCACCTGGCACGTGTTGACTTAATCGTCACAACTCACGAGGAGAGAATGGTTAGCGTTCCCATTTTCGAGATGAGGAAAATGAGGTCCAAGTGGGGTAAACATGGAAGAAAAGGCATCTGTGATTAGGCAGCAGAGCTGGGATTTGGACCCTGAGATTCTGGGCGTCCTCTCTGGGCTGCACCGTCTTGCCTGAGGAAGAGCAGAGATTCAACGTGAGAGGAGAGGGGAAATGATGCAACAATGTAGGAAGAAAGGAGCAGAAGGCAGTGTGAGGAGAAGGCACACGGGGAGAGAGGGCAGGAGTGACACGGCCGGCAGAGAGAGAGGAAGGGAGAGCTCTGGAAGGGGAAAGCTGGTGCGGCCCACCAGGGAGGCGGCTCTGGCTGGCATGTGGCAGGAGGAGGTGGGGTGGGGCAGGAGCCACTGGCGAGACAAGGGGGCAACAGTGGGCTCGGGAGCCGTGGGGGTGTCAGAAGTGGACAGGCCCCTTCAGGTTCCGGGGGAGGGGTGTCCATCCCGCCCGGGAACACAGGGGCCCATGTCCGCACTTTGCAGGGAGCTGCTTCCTCTGCCTGGTGGATGTGGTACCCGTGAAGAATGAAGATGGAGCCGTCATCATGTTCATTCTCAACTTCGAGGTGGTGATGGAGAAGGACCTGGTGGGGTCGCCAGCCCGGGACACCAACCACCGCGCCCCTCCTGCCAGCTGGCTGGCCCCTGGTAAGTGCAGCTGTGCTGTCTGGCTGGTGCAGGAATATATGGTTTCCCTCCCCTGGGGCCAGGAGGCTGCCTAAGACCAAGGCTCTGCAGGCAGGGATTCAGAGGCAGCATAGGGGGGAGGACCTTTCAGAGATGGGGGAGTGAACACGAAGGATATGGCCAGTCCCATGTGGCTCAGTGTGGACAGATGGCGTGGAGTGACCGAGTCCAGACTCCCCTTTCCTTGGGGGGCAGGATCACGCCTGGCTTCACAGCCTTACCGACTTGGGTACCCCCTCTAGCAGCCCCCTGGGAGTGGTCCTCCAGCCCCAGGGATGGGGGGTCCCCTTTCCCAGCTGGCCCTGGCCGCTCCAGTGTGGCTCCTGCTGCTCATAAGAAGGCCCCGTCTCTAATGGACTCAGCTCTGGGATGTTTCTGTTCCTGGTCCTAGTTCTGAACTGGCCGCTTCCTGGATACTTGGGAACATGAGGGGACTGCTTCCTGGGGCTGGAGACAGGGAGGCCTCACCTCATCCTCCTGTGACTCAAAGGCTCAGACACGCCCCCCCACCCCCCTCTGTGGCCTCTTTGGATTTAATTTTAAATGTTCCCTCAGAGTCATGGCAAAAGAAACCACCTCTTGGTTTCTCAAGTTCTAAAATGGCAATAAAGCTGGCCCGACCTGTCCCATGGGTACCACCCGCAAGGTGGCGGGGTACAGCAGGAACCTATGGCATCACTCCTTCTCCACTCAGATGCAGGCCCTGCCAGCTCCTGTGTTCAGTTCAGTTCAGTTGCTCAGTTGTGTCCGACTCTTTGCAACCCCATGGACTGCAGCACGCCAGGCCTCCCCGTCACCAACTCCTGGAGTTTACTCAAACTCATGTCCATTGAGTCAGTGATGCCATCCAACCATCTTATCCTCTGTCGTCCCCTTCTCCTGCCTTCAATCTTTGCCAGCATCAAGATGTTTTTCCAATGATTAAGCTCTTTGCATCAGGTGGCCAAAGTATTGCAGTTTCAGCTTCAGCATCAGTCCTCCCAATGAATATTCAGGACTGATTTCCTTTAGGATGGACTGGTTGGATCTCCTTGCCGTTTAAGGGACTCTCAAGAGTCTTCTCCAACACCATAGTTCAAAAGCATCAAAAAGCATCCAAAGTTCCTGTGTGACCTCCCACAAATGACATAACTCACTGATGCCTGAGTTTCCTCCAGTCTAAAAAGTGGAGATACTGACACCCACTGGGCACAGTTGGGAGAGTCACAGGTGGTTTGGTGGAGGCCACCAGGAAAGACAGTGGTTTATTATTGCTGGAGTCTCAGATAAGATTGTGTTCTAGGCCAGCGGTCTCCAATCTTTGTGGCACCAGAGATGGGTTTCCACCGGCCAGGGGTGGGGGTGGGGGGTGGTTTCCCGATAATTCAAGCCCATTACATTTCTTCCCTACTTGATTTCTGTTATTGTTACATCAGCTCCACCTCCGGGCATCAGGCATTACATTCCGAGGTTGGGGACCCCTCTTCTAGACTTCTTTGGAGACTTGAGTCCTGTGTAGCAGGGGTGGGGGTGGAGGGGTATCCTCTGGCTATCGGGGCCCCCACTTTCCCTCCTTCCTCCCCTTGGTGACTGGGGCTCCAGCTCCTAGGCCTTGCCCCCTCCCAGGCTGCTGGGGCCACGCACCTCCCCTCTACCCACCCCCACCCGCAGGCCGCGCCAAGACCTTCCGATTGAAGCTGCCCGCGCTGCTGGCCTTGACTGCCCGGGATTCGTCGGTGCGGCCTGGTAGCGCAGGCGGCGCGGGCGCCCCGGGGGCCGTGGTGGTGGACGTGGACTTGACTCCCGCGGCCCCCAGCAGTGAGTCCCTGGCCCTGGACGAGGTGACGGCCATGGACAACCACGTGGCGGGGAGAGCTGCAGAGGAGAGGCGCGCTTTGGTGGGTCCCGGCTCGCCGCCGCCGCCGCCTCCGCCGCCGCCCGCCTGCCCGCCGGGCCCGCACCCGTCGCCCCGGGCGCACAGCCTCAACCCCGATGCCTCGGGCTCCAGCTGCAGCCTGGCCCGGACGCGCTCCAGAGAGAGCTGCGCCAGTGTGCGCCGGGCCTCCTCGGCCGACGACATCGAGGCCATGCGCACAGGGGCGCTGCCCCCGCCGCCGCCGCGCCACGCCAGCACCGGTGAGGGTCGGCCTCCCCCCCCCCCCCCGCCCCGCAGGAACTGCCCCTCCACGGGGTCTCCACCCGCAGGACCTCAGCTTCCTCCCTCTCCGCCCTGTCCTGTGTGCCTGGGAGATGGAAATCCTATTAAGCACTTATTTAATCCCATTAAGTAGCCTTTTACTCCATTAAACCGGGCATTCATCCCTGTTGCATTCTTCCACTCTGGGAGCCGGTGCGGTCGGGAGCTGGCTCTCCCAGGCCTGCCTGCAGCCGGGATGCCCACAGGGGAGTCGGGAGGGCTGGAGAGGCCTCAGGGGCCCTGCCACACCACCTGGGCCTGGGGCAGGCTCCCAGTGCCTGTTGAACAGACCCCAGTGAAGGCTTTTACTACTTCCTCTTCTCCTAGTGCATCAGGGGCCTGCTTCCATAAAGTGGGGAGGGGTTCTGGCCTCACTTGTTTCTCAGGGACACTGCTCCCCCCTGTCTCCTGAGCTGGCCTGGCTCCCTTGGCCCCACGGCCTGGCTCATGGCCTGGCTTCTGCCCGGCCGGTCTCCATCCCAGCTCCGAGTCGTTGACCTGATGGCCTTTGCCCCTGCCCTCCTGCCGCCCTGATCGCCTCTCCCTTCCACCCCAGGGGCCATGCACCCCCTGCGCAGTGGCCTGCTTAACTCCACCTCTGATTCGGACCTCGTGCGCTACCGCACCATCAGCAAGATCCCCCAGATCACCCTCAACTTCGTGGATCTCAAGGGCGACCCCTTCCTGGCTTCGCCCACCAGCGACAGGGAGATCATCGCCCCTAAGATAAAGGAGCGGACCCACAACGTCACCGAGAAGGTCACCCAGGTAGGCGCGCCTTGCTCCCCACTCACCTGGGAGGAGCTTGGAGGGGGTGGAGGGGTGCAGTCAGTGAGGGCTTCCTGAAGGTGGCAGCTAGGGGTGGGGGTGGTGTCTCAGCGCTGGGAAGAGAGAAGAGTCTGAGACAGATCCTGGAGGGGGAGGCCCTGGGAGGGGGCAGGTACAGGGGACGGGTGGATGGGGCTGGGGAGGACAGGGCAGTCGAGGCTTGGCGCCTGGCAGGGTCAGGGTGGGCGGGAGAAGGCAGCTGTGGGGCACGAGGGGGTCTGCACAAGGTGTGGTGAGGAGCGTACTGGGGGGGAACCAACGGGCTTCACATCAGGAGGGGCACAGAGGTCACGGTGGCTTCCCTGGCTCAGATGGTAAAGAACCTGCCTGCATTGCGGGTGACCCGGGTTCGATCCCTGGGTTTCGGGAGATATCCTGGAGAAGGGAATGGCAACTCAGTCCAGTATTCTTGCCTGGAGAATCCCATGGACAGAGGAGCCTGACTAACTGCAGTCCATGGGATCGCAAAGAATTGGACATGACTGAGTGACTAAAACACCCAAAGGTCAAGGTTGTGGGGTCCTGATTCTTCTAGGCTAATGTGATGAGCCAGGCTGGGGTTGGGGACCCAATGCCAGTGCCCGGATGACCCAGAGGTGCCCACCCCTGTCTCCAAGCCACAAAAGAGGAGTTTCCTTCCCAGATCGGGAGGGGACTTGATGGAGGTTGGGGCACACATAGAGAGGGGGTCATGTCCTTGAATCCTGTGCTGGAGAAGACTGCCAGTCTTGGGGGGAACCTGCCCAATGCTGCTCAGTGCCAGAACCAGCCTGGTGTCCTGCCCCATCTTGGCAGCAAGATTGTCTCTCTGCATGAGTCCCCCGCCCCCAGCCACTGCCCAGTCCATCCTAGCCCCTTCCCACCCTGGTCTGGGGGTGGGGAGGGTCAGGACGGGAGCTAGCGACAGCCGGGTTCACCCGGTCGCCCCCTCCGGCCCTTCTGGCAGCAGTGACCAGAGCGAGGGAGCTGTCCGTCAGCTGGGCCTCCTCGGCCCTCCTCCTGGCCCCGCTCCCGCCGCCGCCTCTGGCTCTCTGGGCCCCTGCCAGGGCTCCAGCCCCGTGGCCTTGACTCCAGAACCTTCCCCCGGCACGCTGGGCCCCTTACCTGTGGCCGACCCCACTTCCCCCCTCCCCGCCCTCTCCCCTGGCCCCGCCTGGAGCCCCGCCGGCCACCCTGCTCCCGTGTGCCCGCGGGGTGTACTATTTGTTGTGTTGTGCGCTGTGTGTGTGTGTGTGTGCACGCACGCGTCTGTGTGTGCCAGCGTGCGGGTGTGTTCCTGGGCTCTCTGGTCACCGGGCGGGCGGTCTCTCCGTCTCTGGGTGTCTGTCTGACTCTGGCCGGCGGGGCGGGGGTGTTGAAGGGCCCATTAATCTGCGGTGACAGGCCGGGCTGCCGGGGGCCGGGGGAGGGGCGCGGGCTGCGTGAGCGGCTGCAGCAGGAGCCCCAGGCGGGGGCCGCGGGGGAGGGGGCCTCCGGCCGGCCGGGGCGGGGTGGGGGTGGGGACCCGGGAGGAGGAGGGGCCGGCTGGAGGAGCTGGAGGTTCCCAGAGCGCCGGGCGCCGGCTGCTGGGCTGGCAGCGGGCAGAACGCAGCGCCCGGCTGTGGGGCCCGCACCGGGCGGGGGCGGGGGGAACCATGGGCCGCCCCAGCCAGGTGGGCTGCTGGCCACACTCCCTGCCAGGGTGACCCCAGCCCCAAGGCCCAGCCCCGGCGACCCTGGCTGCCAGGCCAGAGGCTGCCCCCGGAGCCAGGCCGCCAGCCTCTGGGGTGCAGGTGAGGTGCTGGCGTGGGCCCTCGGGGCCCCAGAGCAGGCAGGCTGGGGGGAGCCAAGTCCTCCATGGCGGCCCCGACGGGGAAGGCGAGCAGGACAGGGGCCCTGCAGCCCAGGGCCCAGAAAGGCCGGGTGAGACGGGCCGTGCGCATCTCCAGCCTGGTGGCCCAGGAGGTAGGTGTTCCCCTCAGCTTCCCCCTCCCGCCCCCCACCTTCATGCGGGTCTGACGCGGCTCCGAGGGCTCTGACTCCAGGTCAGCAGATGGCCTCCGAGTTGCAGTGGTTTTGTGGGGGGAGCCCCGGGAGCTGTGGCCCGGCCTGTCCCGCTCTTGGCTCCAGCTTGCTCTTCTCCAGTGCTGCCGGGCCTAGGTGGACAGTGTTTGTCTTGCCAGGGCTTCGCTCCTCCTTGGCCTTCCTGGCCTGGCCTTCTAGCTGTGAACTCGGGAGGAGGAGAGGGGAGAACAGGAAAGTGGGTGCCCCGGAGAGCTCGGTGGGGAGCATGGTGGGGGGGTGGGGGGGTGGGGGGGAGGAGAGGAGCCACTCCAGCTTCCACCCCACCTCCCCCAATGAGCGGGTAGCAGCTGGGCTTGGTGCCCAGGCCCGGGGCTCCACCCTGCTAGCACTCTGTGTTTTGGGGGTGGACTCTGGAGGGTGAGGGAGGCGTGGGCTGCTTCAGGGGTCCGGGTTTGGGGGCTGGGGGTCAGAGGCCCCTGGAAGAGCAGAGAGGGCCGTCTGAACCAGGCACCTGGTCCAACCTGAAGAGCTGGTGGTGCCCCCAGGCTGACAGCTTGGTAGGCACCTCCGGGGAGCCAGGTCTCCACATCCCCCTCCATCTGGGGTCAGTGGGGTTGGTGGGGGGGCTTCTGTCACAGAGCCAGGGGCCAGCTCAGGGTGGCAGGGGGAGCTGGAGGCGGCTCAGGGCGGAGTCTGAGCACCCTCACCTCTGTCATCAGCATCCGAACCATCTGCCTTGGCTCTCTTGCTCCTCCCAATGTGAGGACAGGTATGGGGGGCGGGATTCTCCCAGCCGCAGGTGAGGACCTCACGTTGGGCTTAAAGGAGCTTTAGCATTCTGTATGACCGTGGGTCAGGGGAGGTTACGCACCTGCCCAAGTCCAGGGCCATGTGTTGAGCTGGTGGCTGCAGACCTGAGCCCGGCCGGCCCCTGTAAGATGGGGTCTGTGGGTCCTGGGCTGATGCCCTGGGCTTGCCCCCCATGTGTGCTTGTGCCCGGGGTGGTGCTGGCCCTGCTGTGGGCAGACGCGGGTGGTGGTGGTGGGGGCAGGATCACATTTATCAGGTGTGGTCCAGCACAGCCCAGGGGGCCTGGCCACTCAGCTGGGATGAGGAGCCCCCTGCAGGAGCCTTCTTCCGCCTCCTGTCTGCTGGGGCTCTGGTCAGTTCCATTTTTTCAACCCCCTCTTGATCTCCGGAAGGTCACTGCCCCATGTTCTCTGCCTTAAGGAGTGAGTGGCTGGGGCTGAAGTCAGGGCAGAAGTGGGGGCCTTGAAGCTGCAGACTCCTTCCCTGCCCCAGGCCCAATCGTGTGCCTCCGGAGAGCCCCTGTGGTCACCCCTGGGTGACCAAACCCCCAGCCGCAGCCGGTCTTAACTTCCAGTTACCTCTTCTAAGGAGGTGCCTTCCAAACAGTCCATCTGGTGAAGGTGGTTCCAGGGGGGTCTCCAGTGTGGATGTGAATGGGAGTCTTTGGGATTCCACCCCCTTCCCAGCACAAGGCCTGAGGATGTGGGCCCTGACATTTTGTGCTGCTCCTGCAGGGCCGGCAGCCTTGGCTCTCAAGGGGGAGGGTGGGTGAGGCCTTGGGCCTGGCTTCTCAGGATGGCAGAGCCAGGCTTGGAGAATTTGGGGATTGCATGGGGCAGGGGGAGGCCCCAAGGGGACAGGCTGAGGCTCCCAGGACGGCATGGGAAAGCTGGTCTCAGCTCTTCCTAGTCTGGCTTGAAGGTGTGGGGGAGTGTGGTGGCTGCTGTCCTCAGATTTGGGTGGCGTGCTGCCTCTGCCTGAGTGATGAGGGGCAGGAGCCTGGGTGGGCTCGGGGGTCATGTCTGAATGGCAGCCCCGGGCCAGGGTGAGTAGAGAGAGGGAAGTGAGTGTCATGCTGTCTCTCTCTCTCTCCTGGGTGCCAAAGGACCTGAGTCTGGGTGGCTGGTATCATTGGGTCAGTGGCAGGAAGGGACACTTAGGTCCTCAGTCCCTGGGCTGCCAGCAACGGGAGTAGTGACCACCGCTGTTTATGTCTCCCAGGCTGGAAGCCATAGTCCTTTTAGCATTTCCTGGTGGAGATGGTGTATATGGGATGTGTGTGTGTGTGTGTGTGTGTGTGGCTGCCGTGGGGGTGAGCAAGGTGGGAGTTATATCCATAGCTGTGGGTCTGTATCGCTGGTGGGGAGCCATGCTTGTGGGTATTCCTGTAAGGTGCCCTGGACTCAAGAGCCAGCCAGAAGGCCACATGGGGAATGGCGGTCAGCAGCCATGTCCACGTGGCTGAGGGTGGGGTGGGGGGCTCCCCTCCTACAGACCCCCTCTTACACCCCCCTTATGCCCCCTCCTGTTACTCCGCTTGGCCCCTTCTCTGAGGGCCCCGCCCAGGAGTTACAGGGCCGGTGGCCTGCCCTCCCCCCGCCCCACCTCAGCACCACCTTCCCTGCCCGCCCAGGTCCTGTCCCTGGGGGCCGACGTGCTGCCGGAGTACAAGCTGCAGGCGCCCCGCATCCACCGCTGGACCATCCTGCACTACAGCCCCTTCAAGGCCGTGTGGGACTGGCTCATCCTGCTGCTGGTCATCTACACGGCAGTCTTCACCCCCTACTCGGCCGCCTTCCTGCTGAAGGAGACCGAAGAGGCGCCCCTGGCCCCCGACTGTGGCTACGCCTGCCAGCCGCTGGCCGTGGTGGACCTCATCGTCGACATCATGTTCATCGTGGACATCCTCATCAACTTCCGCACCACCTATGTCAACGCCAACGAGGAGGTGGTCAGCCACCCTGGCCGCATTGCCGTCCACTACTTCAAGGGCTGGTTCCTCATTGACATGGTGGCCGCCATCCCCTTTGACCTGCTCATCTTCGGCTCTGGCTCTGAGGAGGTGGGCTGGCCAGGAGGCAGGGGGTGGGGGGGAGGGCAGCAGGGGGTGGGGTGAGGGGGTGGCAGACGCACGGTGCCCCCAGCTCACCTGGGCCTGCACCCCTTTTTGAGCCAATTCCTGGTTGTAAAGGTCTAGGGGGCCTGCTTTTTCCCAGTGTGTCTGTCCAGAGTGGCCACTGCCCTCTGATTCACATGAAAATGCTCTGAAACTGTCAGCAGCTCTGGCCAGGCACCTGAAGGTGGGTGCACCTTTCTGAGCCCCAGTAGATTTTCATCCTGGTTTTGGGGAACTGTGAGCCCTTTGTCACTGTGAAGTGAAAGTGTTAGTCGCTCAGTCATGTCCGACTCTTTGCCACCCCAAGGACTGTAGCCCACCAGGCTTCCTCTGTCCGTGGGATTCTCCAGGCAAGAACACTGGAGTGGGTTGCCATTCCCTTCCCCAGGGGATCTTCCCGCCCCAAGGAGTGAACCTGGGACTCCTGCACTGCAGGCAGAGTCTTCACTGTCTGAACCACCAGGGAGCTGGCACAAAAGGGGAATGGGACTCTGCCGGGTGCAGCGGGTGGGAGGCGTGCCTACTGATATTAGGAGGAGGTTCTGGGGAGGTCTTTGGGGATCTTACCTCCGCTGCCCCACCACTGAGGGCTGCAGTGCCCCCCATGCCTCGTCCATCACCACCCCCACCCCACCCCACTGAATACCTGTTGCTCCCCATAGCTGATCGGGCTGCTGAAGACAGCGCGGCTGCTGCGGCTGGTGCGTGTGGCACGGAAGCTGGACCGCTACTCGGAGTATGGGGCGGCTGTGCTCTTCCTGCTCATGTGCACCTTCGCGCTCATCGCGCACTGGCTGGCCTGCATCTGGTACGCCATCGGCAACATGGAGCAGCCGCACATGGACTCCCGCATCGGCTGGCTGCACAACCTGGGCGACCAGATCGGCAAGCCCTACAACAGCAGTGGCCTGGGCGGCCCCTCCATCAAGGACAAGTACGTCACTGCCCTCTACTTCACCTTCAGCAGCCTCACTAGTGTGGGCTTCGGCAACGTGTCCCCTAACACCAACTCGGAGAAGATCTTTTCCATCTGTGTCATGCTCATCGGCTGTGAGTGCGCCCCTGGGGGCGGGCGTGGGCACAAGCCACACAGGAGAGGGAGGGTATTAGAGGGGCCAGAGTGGGTGCCCCACACTTGCAGGGGCCCCCATCACAGGCATGTTCAGTGGCTGTGAATACCAGGGCAGAGGTGCAAGGTGGGGGTGGAAGAGTGTGTGTGCCCGGGCTTCTGTGCGTGCATCTTGTGTGTGTGCTCACACTGAGGCGGGACTGTGTGTTGGCACTGACCTGGTGCCGGGGTGGACAGGGTCCCTCGGAGGCTGACGGGCCCACACACCCTGCCCCCAGCCCTCATGTACGCCAGCATCTTCGGCAATGTGTCGGCCATCATCCAGCGGCTGTACTCGGGCACGGCCCGCTACCACACGCAGATGCTTCGCGTACGGGAGTTCATCCGCTTCCACCAGATTCCCAACCCGCTGCGCCAGCGCCTTGAGGAGTACTTCCAGCATGCCTGGTCCTACACCAACGGCATCGACATGAACGCGGTGAGGGCCCGGGCTGGGCCTGGGGGGCTGCGGGGGGGGGTGGGCAGGGTGCCGGTGGGGACTCCTCCAGGTTCGGCGCGTGCTGTCCCAGCCCGCCAGAGTCACACTCCCCCTAGGTGGGCCCAGGTGGTACCGGCAGGACCCTGAGAAGTCCTTCTGCGCGTGGAGCTCGTTCCCTGGTTGAGCTCTCACTTTGGGGCAGGCTCTGGGTGATCATGGTTCATCCATAGGACAGGCCCAGGCAGGAGATGGTCTCCACGCCTCACACGTTAGAAGGTGAAGGTGAGAGCAGTGAGGCGGCATCCCAAGGATGCACAGTCTGCAGGGAGGAGGGGTGGAGCTGGCGTGGACACCCAGGTCCTTCCCCCGATAGATCCTGGACACCCTGGTGCTCCCTGGCCGGCTCTCCAGGTGGGGGGTGGGAGTGGGGGTCCCAGGAGAGGGCGTGCTGAGCCGCCCCCCTGCCCCCAGGTGCTGAAGGGCTTCCCCGAGTGCCTGCAGGCCGACATCTGTCTACACCTGAACCGCTCACTGCTGCAGCACTGCAAGCCCTTCCGAGGGGCCACCAAGGGCTGCCTGCGGGCCCTGGCCATGAAGTTCAAGACAACACACGCGCCGCCCGGAGACACGCTGGTGCACGCTGGGGACCTGCTCACTGCCCTCTATTTCATCTCCCGGGGCTCCATCGAGATCCTGCGGGGTGACGTGGTCGTGGCCATCCTGGGTACGGCAGGGACCGGGAGCTGGGCCCGGAGTGGCTGCCACAGCTGCAAAGGTCCAGCCCTCGAAGGACACAGCCCCTGGGGGCTGTGACCCTGTGACTGCCCTCAGGGGCCTTGGGCTCCTTTAATTCACCCAAGCTCAGGCCCTCCCAGGGGGCTGGGGAGAGGAGCCCTGCGTGGTGGTGGGGGGTGGGTGCTGCTGAACTCTGGAGGTTTCCCTTTGGGGGGCTGTGACACTCTTGTTTCTTAAAATGGGACCAAATCCGAATGCTCCAAGGTAGGCAGTGGGGGAGGTTGTGTGACGGATTTCTACTTAGGGCCCTGTGGTACAGCCAAGTCCTCACCGCCAGAGCAGAGGGGGTCCGCCCCTCTTCCCCTCGCATCCCTTCTTCTCCACCCTACCTGTGCACGTGGACAGGTGTGTCTGGGTGCTGGGGACTTCCTGCCCTCTGCCTGTCCTCCCCTCGGCCCTGGCCACCTCAGGGCTGATGGGTCACGGTGGGGCTTAATACTCATGCTGCAAACACCCCCAAACACCACTGCAACCAAAGTTTTGGTAAACTGCAGTTGCCCTAACTGCATCCCGGTGTTTTCCGTTCTATGCCTGTGCTCAGCTATGCTATCCTGTTTTCTCTCAGTAAACAAAATGCTGGTCTTGATTCACTACTGTGTTATGATCTGTAGCTTGAAGAACATTGTTCATGGGGGTGCAGTGCTTAGCCAGGGGATGTGTGGGAATGGGCTTTGGTTGGGGGGGGGTGGTACCAGAGGAGTCAGAACCTAAGGGGGAAGCCAGGGTCTTGGGCAGAGCTGGGCATCCAGGCTGGAGCTGTTGGCTGGCCCTAGCTGGGAGGCACAGGTTCCTGGCCCTTCTCCTCCAGGGCACCACACTGCACCTGTCCTGCCTTTGGGAGCTGGGGGCAGATGGGCTGGCTGGTGCCCCCTGGCCCTGGGGGCTGGGGCTGGGCAGCTCATGATCAGACTGAGGGGAGTTGCCTGGCCAGGGTGACAGTGCACGGAAGATAGGTGCCTGCTGCCTCCGCTGCCGTCCCGGGGCTGAGCCCCCCTCTCGGTGGCCTCCAGGGAAGAATGACATCTTCGGAGAGCCTCTGAACCTGTACGCGCGCCCTGGGAAGTCCAACGGGGACGTGCGGGCCCTCACCTACTGCGACCTGCACAAGATCCACCGCGACGACCTGCTGGAGGTGCTGGACATGTACCCCGAGTTCTCTGACCACTTCTGGTCTAGCCTGGAGATCACCTTCAACCTGCGCGATGTGAGTGGGCCACGCGGCCGACCGCCTTGCTGGGTGGCTGCCCCTTCGCCGCGGGACCTTCTCTCTGGGCTTGTTTAATGGTATCTGGGTCAGGCCAGGTTGTGAAAAGCGACAGCCTCAGCCCTGGTCCTGCGGCGGAGCTCACACCTCCCCCCCCCCCCCCCCCCCCCGAGCGGGCACGCCCAGTCCCACCTCCTCTGGTCATGAGAGGGTCTTCCCCGGGGACGGGCAAGGCAGGTGGGCGCGGAAGGGCCCTAACACCGCTCTTGGGTTTCAGACCAACATGATCCCCGGCTCTCCGGGCAGCGCGGAGTTGGAGGGCGGCTTCAACCGGCAACGCAAACGCAAGCTGTCCTTCCGCCGGCGCACGGACAAGGGTGAGGCTGGGGAGGGGAGGGGAGGGGAGGGGAGGGGGGGAGGGGGCGGGGCCCGGGGAGCCGGGCTGGGCCGAGAGGGGGCGGAGCAGAGGGCGGGACCGGCAGGTCTGCTCCTCCTAGGCCCCACAGAGCCCCCACGCCTACCGTCAGCGTTCCCTCCTCCTCACCCCATCCTTTCAGGCCCACTTGAAATGTCACGTTCTTCAGGAAGCCTTTCTGCACTCTCCAGGGCAGCGGCGCGCCTAAGTTTATTGGGTCCTCACAGGGCTGGCGTCTTGATGGGCGCTGCTTTGAACCGATGAGGGGAGGAAAGTCAGGACAAAGGAGGGAGAGGCGTCCAGCATAGCAGGAAGGGCTAGGGCCTGGGGTCCCAGAGAGCCCCGCCCAGCAGTGCTACTGACCCAGCTCGGGCAGCCAGTCGTCACAGACGATCTGGTCTCGCCCGCGGAGTTCTTAGTCCTCTTGGAAGTGGGGGAGAAAGCACAAGACAGGACTGGGGACAAGCCAGGGCGTCCGGCCCCGTCCCCTCCCCTCCCCTCCCCGGCCCTCCCCTCCTCTCTCTGCCTCCTCCTGCCGTCTCTGAGGCCCGTTCTCTGTCTCCCACAGACCCGGAGCAGCCAGGGGAGGTGTCGGCCTTGGGGCCGAGCCGGGCGGGGGCAGGGCCGAGTGGCCGGGGCCGGCAGGGGGGGCCGTGGGGGGAGAGCCTGTCCAGCGGCCCCTCCAGCCCCGAGAGCAGTGAGGATGAGGGCCCAGGCCGCAGCTCCAGCCCCCTCCGCCTGGTGCCCTTCTCCAGCCCCAGGCCCCCCGGAGAGCCGCCGGGTGGGGACCCCCTGACCGAGGATGGTGAGAAGAGCAGCGACACGTGTAACCCACTGTCAGGTAGGGTAAGCCCCCCCACCTCTGCCCGGCGGGTGGGCTGTGGGCCTCTCTTCCAGCCTCAACCCTGCTCTCTGGATGCAGGTGCCTTCTCAGGAGTGTCCAACATCTTCAGCTTCTGGGGGGACAGCCGCGGCCGCCAGTACCAGGAGCTGCCTCGCTGCCCTGCCCCCACTCCCAGCCTCCTCAACATCCCCCTGTCCAGCCCTGGCCGCCGGCCGCGGGCAGACGTGGAGACCAGGCTGGACGCCCTCCAGAGGCAGCTCAATAGGTGAGGGCGGTCCCTGGGGTCCCGTGAGTGTCCAGGGGGACAGGCTAGGAGGTGTTGGATGGGGGAGTGCTGCAGCGTGATCTGTGGGTTTCGGGCAGTGTTGTTGGGTGCCGGGGCGGTTGTCCGCTCTGTCTAGACCTGTCTGTGTGTCCCAGCGGCTTCGCCCTCTCCTTGCGTTTGGAGCCAGGTTGGGGCCGCCATGCCTAGGATGGAAAGTGGGCCTGGGGGTTGACCAGCTGGCTGTCCACAGGGCGGTTCTGAAGTCACAGTTGCTGGTGTCTCCACTTCTCTGAGACCCAGAACATCCTCCTCCTTCTCGCCCAGGTTGGAGACCCGGCTGAGCGCAGACATGGCCACCGTCCTGCAGCTGCTGCAGAGACAGATGACGCTGGTCCCGCCCGCCTACAGTGCTGTGACCACCCCGGGGCCCGGCCCCGCCTCCACCTCCCCCCTGCTGCCTGCAGGCCCCATCCCCACCCTCACCCTGGACTCACTTTCTCAGGTGAGTCCCCACCACCCCGGCCTTGCCTTTTCTGCACTGATTCCATCCCAGGCCTGCTTTGCTGCCCCTTCTGTGGCCTTGGGCCCCAGCCTCCTCCCCTCCCCCACCCCTGCCCTCCTCCCAGGCTGTATTCTTGGAGGAGGAGGAGCTGTGAGCACGCAGACAGCTGGGCCAAGGGAGCCCTGCAACCTGCAGGCCGTGCGCTCCCTGGGGTCACCCGAAGGGCCGGGTCTACTGGGGTGCCTGTGTCTGTGGCTGCATGTGGAGGAGACTGTTGAGCCCTGGGGGGCCTGGTGGTGGGTGCTGGGTGCCAGTGTGCCCTTGGGACAGGGTCCTATGGCCCTGCTGTTGCTGACATCCCCGGGTCTGACTCTCCACTTGACCCATGACTTTCATGCTCGGCACTTTGCAGGGTTGTCCCGGAGACTTTGGCTAAGTCCCAGGGTGGCCCTTCTGGTCGGCTTCTCTCCCCTCCGGCCAGAAGTGGGCCTCTGTCATCCTTTTTCCTCCCCTGAGTGGACCTGTGTGTTCCTGGTCTTCTGACAGGACAGCGGTGTCTGGGTCTCAAGCAGGGGGTCCTTCGGGTAACCCGAGATGGCCTGGGCTCCGCCACCCCCTCCCCCGTGGGCATCTGCTCCCCTCCCATATGCTGCCTGCTCCTGTTTGCAGACACCAGGGCCCACGTCAGCAAATGTGCCAGTCTCCCTTCACAACCTCCCCCGCAGAGATCTCACAGCAGACTCGTCAGCACCCACAAAGCCCCTCCTGCCTGCCCTGGCACTCTCCCTGGCCTTCCGAAGCCTGGCCGCCAGCCTGCCTCTGTTTCTAGGTCCCGGAGTCCTTTCGAGACTGCAGTTAGGAACCTTCTCTCTTTTTCTGTCTAGCTTCAGTGCCAGCTCAGGGCCCCTTATTCCGGGTTGGCACTGAATCCAGCGGCAAGGTTCCCCAGGGAGGGAAGTGGCTGAGGCCTGGGGCTCCCCGCAGGATCAGACAGAGGCTGCCGCGGGGCCCCCAGCTGCCTGGCCTGGCTCTTGCCCACCCAGAGCACGTTTCTCCACGTCCGGTCTTGTCCCCCTCCCTTGGCAGTTGGAGTCCTGCTCTGTCTCCCTCAGCCCTTCTCCTGACCCCTCCTGTCTGGCTCTAGAGTCCCCAGACCCTCTCTCTCCTCTGACCCTCTCCCGCGCCTCGGCTCCTGGCCGCCCACACTCTGTTTTCTCTGCAGGTTTCCCAGTTCATGGCGTGCGAGGAGCTGCCCCAAGATGGCCCCGCTCGACGCCTCTCCCTGCCGGGCCAGCTGGGGGCCCTCACCTCCCAGCCCCTGCACAGACACGGCTCAGACCCGGGAAGTTAGTGGGGCTGCCCGGTGTGGACACGTGGCTCACCCAGGGTTCAGCGCACAGCCTGGGCCCCTCCCCGTGGAGGCCCTGCCCGGGAGGCCCTGGCCGCCGACGGGAGAGGACTAGGAAGGCACGGCCCCTCCCCCAGCCCTCGGGGGCCCACCGCCTCCTGCGGTCCCCGGGGGGCCCCGGTGGGGGGCGCGCAGGGGCAGGGACAGGGCCGGGCAGCGGATGGGGGTCTGTGGTCCCCCCGCTGCCCAGGGGCAGTAGCTGGTCTAACTGCCCGGAGGCACCCGGCCCTGGGCCTTAGGCACCTCAAGGACTTTTCTGCTATTTACTGCTCTTATTGTTAAGGATAATAATTAAGGATCATATGAATAATTAATGAAGATGCTGATGACTATGAATAATAAATAATTATCCTGAGGAGACTCCAGTGGTGCTGGGAGGTGTAATAGCCACTTGCTGTATCCTGTGTGTGTGGCCATAGCATTGCGGGCACGGGCCTGTCCAAGGGAATCCGGGCCAGTCTGTCTGTGTGCGCTGGGCCTGCAGGGGCAGCTCCGACGTCTGGGTGTGGGGTGGGTGCAGTGGGGGTGCTCCCTTGGGGCTGACACATCACCTCCAGGGCCTCTTGCCTCCAGAGGGCCCTGGTTCCCTGTGGTCCTGGATTCAGGATGGCAAACAATCACCTGGCCTGCGATGAATATAGAGGTTGTCCTAATGAGATGCTGGGGCTGGGGTCCCACACTTCAGACCCTTGGTGGCTAGCGGATTGGCACAGTGGCCCCTGAAACTGACCCCACAATGACGGCTGGTACAGCCGTGTTCTTCTCCCCACACACAGCTCTTGAGTCCAGCCCATGCTGACTTGAATCTGGGGTTACATTTGGCCACGCCCCCAACTTGGTCTTGCATGCATGCTAAGTCCCTTCAGTCATGTCTGACTCTTTGTGATCTCATGGGCTGTAGCCCGCCAGGCTCCTCTGTCCATGAAATTCTCCAGGCAAGAGCACTGGAGGGGGTTACCATTTCCTCCTCCAGGGGATCTTCCTGACCCAGGGATCAAACCCGAGTCTCTCATGTCTCCTGCAGTGGCAGGTTGGTTCTTTACCACAAGCACCACCTGGGAAACCCTTATTCTGGCCTTTAACTCAGCCTCACGTGGATCCTGTATGATTGGGCCCCCACAGTGAACTGAGTCCGGGTACGCTGGTTTTCTCAGCCCCTATCAGAGCCCTACTGGTGTCTGCCTGCAGACGGGCTTCACCTTGACCACCTGCATCCCTTGGTCACCTGTGATCCTTGACCAGAGGAGCTGGAAGTTTCCGAGTGGCTCATTCCCATCCCTGGACGAAGAAGTCAGATGTCCTGGGGTCAGTGAAGGGTGGAGGCTGTGTGCACCTCTGTGTGTGTGTGTGTGTGTGTGTGTGCACGTGCTGCTGGTCTTGTGGGAACACGCAGCCTCTCAGAGGACCTGCTGTGCAGTGGCCGAGTCAGGGCAGCTGCCAGCCAGCAGGAGGAGCCGATGGGCATCATTGCTGCCCAAGGCCTCCAGGGCCACTTAATCCTACAACCCTCCACCCTTCGAGCTGGGTTGGTTAGCCTTGCTTTGAGGAAAACACATTACTTCCCAGGCCTGGGGTCAGGAGGCTATTGGGAGAAGAGCCTGGTCTCTGAGCCACCTGGAGGGAGCCCTATGCCCAGACGGTAGGAGAGACATTCCCAGCGGTTCTGTGCCAGGGCCCAGGCTCCCCTCCCAAGGGTGTGACGGGGGGCGGGGGGAGCCTGTGTGTTCAGTGTGCCCTGGGGCTCGGGACCTGGAAGATGGGCACGGGGCAGAGAGTGGGGAGAAGGATTAGACCCCTGGGGTGTGGAGAGGGGTGACACATAGAGGGGGGCCAGGCAGAAAGGGTAGCTTTGTGTGATAGGTTTTGGCACACGAGTTCAGGCATGTACACGTGAGTGTGAGCACGCATCTGTTCATGGTTCACACACAGGCCTCCCTGGTGGACTGATGTGCGTGGGTGCGGGGTGGGGGGTTCTAGCCGGGGCGATGCCCTCGATCACGGGTTCTGGGCACAAGTGGGCTCCCAGGGCAGGACACAGATGTGGTCAGAGGCCGCTGCGAGGCTGACGGTGAGAAGTAAAGGTGCAGACGGTGCTCACTCCACTTGGCCCGCAGGGGCCGAAGCGCTGGGCCACGTCCCTGCCTCCGTCCTTCCCGTCTCCCCTGTCCTGACAGCACCTTCTTCTGGCAGCTCAGCCCGATTCACTGCACTCTGTCCAAGGACGGGGGGCAAGGGCTGGGGGAGCCCGGGGGGGGCCCTGGGGCAGAGGCTGGGGGCCAGCCCAGTGCGTCAGCGCTGCGTGCTGGTGGGCATCAGGAGGAGGAGAGGAGAGGAGAACTTTGCGCGTGCTCTCTGGGCTTTGTATCAGGTTTGACGCTGGTTATTTCTCTTCGGCACATGCCAGCCCCCTGGTCAGCTGCCTGCAGCCAGGGGAGGGCACTGCCTGGCCTGGAAGCCTGATGCATGCGTTTCCAGGGATGAGTGTGTGCGTGTGTGTGTGTGTGTGTGTGTGCAAGTGCACACATCTATGCTCAGGATGGGGGCTGGGCCAGCAGAGGAGATCCTCTAAGTGCTTGTCCTCAGTGAAAGCACATGGGTGCCCAGGTCTTGGTCCACTCCATCCGGGTGAAGGAGCTTCCAGTGTGGCTGAGACACCAGCCCCAGGTCCCTGCCAGGAGCCGCCACTGAGATTTGAGAGGCTGGGCAGGGGATGACAGCCACGGTGTCTCCATCTCCTGACAGTTCCATCTGTCCAGCTGCATCATTGAGCCCCTAATGGCCTGTAGAGGGAGTTGTCACTAGTCCACGTGAGGACGGTCATCTCGGGGTGGTCAGTGACTGGCTGGGGGTCTTGCTGTAGGCAGATGGCAGTGCAAAGCTCCAGGCTGCACAGGAGGGTGGCAGTATGCTCAGACGCAATACTGGGGCCAACACTGACCAGTTGCAGGGTGTGGGCTCACACCTGGACCTTGGGGGGGCCTGAGAGGCTGGCAGGGGTGCTGTGAATGGGCATCGAAGCTCAGCGTGGAGCCTAGCACAGAGACTGTCTATTCTCAGCCTGCTCTGTCCTCCCCTCCCCCGGCCAGGTGGTAGCAGCACTCTCCTGCTGACAGTCAGGAGGCCAGGCTCCACCCAACCCAGCAGTGTATAAACCCAAGCTATGCCTGTGTTCCGGGAGCTCTCTGCTGGGCTGCATTAAGTTTTTGGGTAGGGCCCGCTCAAGGCTGAAGGCTTCCTAGAACAGTGGGGTAGCAGTGGGGTAGCCTTCAGCCTTGACCAGGCCCTGTCCAAGAACCCTAACCCTAACCCTAAAGTGAGTGAAGTTGGTCAGTTGTGCCCGACTCTTTGCAACCCCATGGACTATAGACCACCAGGCTACTTTGTCCATGGGATTTTCCAAGCAAGAATATTGAAGTGGGTTGCCATTTCCTTCTCCAGGGGGTCTTCCTGACCCAGGGATTGAACCCGGGTCTCCTGCATTGTAGGCAAATGCTTTACCGTCTGAACCCTAACCCTAATCCCCGCCCTAGGCTGGTTGCACCTCGTGGGGGTCCTGCTGTGTCCCTGGCCGGGTTCTCAGGTGTGTTAGTCGTGTTGGGGGCAATTCTGGGGGCTGGCTGCAAGTATGGCAGGCTATTTTCCACCAGGGGCCACTTTGGTTCACCATGCATTGCCCACTCCTTTAAGATCCAACTTCATCTTTTTTTTTTTTTAATAGAAATCATCAGTGAAATTGCTTTGGACAGGAGAGGAAGGACCTTCAGAAGTCAGTAGCCTGTGAGCCTCAAGGGCATCTCATTACTGGGGGCTCAGGAAGAGAGGGAAGAGGGAGGTGTGGGAATGAGTGTGCACCCCTCTGCCCCCAGGGGCAGGTCCCACAGCCGAGGGAGTTAATCCCTGCTGGCCCGAGGCAATGAGCTATGAATATCAGGTCTGTTGAAGGAGGGGTGGGGAGGCTTCTTTGACTTTGCAGGGCCCCGATAGTGCCGGGCACTGGGGCGTGCTCAGCGCTTCCCCAATGAAGGAAGGAAGGAATGCAAATATTGCTTTTCGTCCTGGGATGGAGACCCTTGGGCTGGACAGAGACCCTTGGGCTGGACGGAGACCCTTGGGCTGGACGGAGACCCCTGGGCTGGACGGAGACCCCTGGGCTGGACGGAGACCCCTGGGCTGGAAGGAGACCCCTGGGCTGGAAGGAGACCCTTGGGCTGGAAGGAGACCCCTGGGCTGGATGGAGACCCCTGGGCTGGAAGGAGACCCCTGGGCTGGAAGGAGACCCCTGGGCTGGATGGAGACCCCTGGGCTGGAAGGAGACCCCTGGGCTGGAAGGAGACCCCTGGGCTGGAAGGAGACCCTTGGGCTGGACGGAGACCCTTGGGCTGGACGGAGACCCTTGGGCTGGACGGAGACCCTTGGGCTGGACGGAGACCCCTGGGCTGGATGGAGACCCCTGGGCTGGAAGGAGACCCCTGGGCTGGAAGGAGACCCCTGGGCTGGAAGGAGACCCTTGGGCTGGACGGAGACCCCTGGGCTGGAAGGAGACCCCTGGGCTGGACGGAGACCCCTGGGCTGGAAGGAGACCCCTGGGCTGGAAGGAGACCCCTGGGCTGGAAGGAGACCCTTGGGCTGGACGGAGACCCTTGGGCTGGACGGAGACCCTTGGGCTGGACAGAGACCCTTGGGCTGGACGGAGACCCCTGGGCTGTACGGAGACCCCTGGGCTGGAAGGAGACCCCTGGGCTGGACGGAGACCCCTGGGCTGGACGGAGACCCCTGGGCTGTACGGAGACCCCTGGGCTGGACGGAGACCCCTGGGCTGTACGGAGACCCCTGGGCTGGAAGGAGACCCTTGGGCTGTGCAGGCAGGGCTGGGGAAGTCCTCCAGTGGCTGGCAGAGCTGAAGGGGGCCTCTGTCCAGGGCTCTGGGCCCTCACCCTGGGCCT